CTGCCCAGGTGCCCCACAGCAGCACTGACACAGGCCCTTGCACCCACCCAGCCACCCCAGCAGGTTCCCAGACCCTCTGGACCCCACACGCCTGAACACCAACACCCACCTGCCTCACCGACCCTGGGGGGGCCAGGGGAGACCCTTGGGGACACCCATGGCCAGACAGACACCGACCCCCATGACACCTCGTGACCCCGCAGGTGTCACCCAACGTGGTCACCACTGGCACTGACCACTGGCCAGGTGACACCTGGCTGCAGTGACACCTGGCCCTGGTGAGGACACCCCAACGCAGGGGACACCCCAATAGTGCAGACACCCTAATGCTGTGGGGACCCTCTGGCACTGGGGACATCCCAACCGTGGTGACCCCCCGCCCCGCTGTCCCCCGGGGGTGGCACTGGGGTACTCACGTCGCTGAGCTGGGGCGTGGCGGTGCCCTCGGGACCCCCCGACATGGGCACGGGGGACACACGGCCGCCCTGGGCAGGCGGCGACAGCGGCACCACTGCTGGTGGCACCCGTGGCAGGGTGGGGGACGAGCCCTCTGACGGGGTGACGTCCCCAGGGGAGGGGGTGACGTCCCGGAGGGCGGTGCACCCGCCCCAGCACCGACCCCCACCCCGTGACGCTGGCACTGACCCACACCCGCCCCACGGCCACGGGCCACTGGCGAGGGGACGGCCACGGGACCACCCGGGACACAGCGAGGACCACCTGGGACATGGTAGAGACCACCTGGGACACGGTGGGGACCACCTAGGGAGACAGTGAGGATCACCTGGGACATGGCATGGACCACCTGGGTATGTAAGGGACCACCCGGGGACATAATGGGGACCACAACAGCCACGTGCCATCAGCCCTCCCCACGCCACAGCCACGGCCACCATGGCACAGCTGGACACAGCTCTGGGCCCAATCGTGGCACTGGGTGGACATGGGGGCTCCGAGTGGGAGATGCCCCCCAACCCTGGTCACGGGGGGCCCGGGGTGGGTGATGCCCCCCAACCCTGGTCATGGGGTGCCCATGGGGGATGATGCACCCCCAACCCCGGGGGGCATTAGGAGAGCCCCAAACCCTGCCAGACCCCCAGAGACACTCACCACAACCCCTGATGCCCCCCCTTAGTGTGGGGGCATCCCTGGGACCCCACACCCACTCACAGTAGGACAAGCCACGGGACCCCCTTCCTCAAGCAGTGGGGACCCCCTGGAGCCCCCGGGCTCCCCAGATGCCCTCACAGCCTTCCAGAGACGTCTGCTGCAGCTGCTGGTGCCACCCCCTGTCAGTGTCCCCCCTCCCAGTGCGACGACATCCCTGAGCCCCCGCACCCACGCGTGGCAGGACGAGTGGCATGCAGGTCCCTTTTCCCACCGGGGGGAGACCCCCTGAAAATCCCGAGACCCCCAAGCTCTCCAAAAC